AAACCTCCCACTCGCGCCCACCGAGGACCGTGCCCGAAACCAGTCGCGGGAGGGGCTTGGTCAGGGCCCCGTGCCCAAGGGCTCCGGCAAAAAAGGACAAGGCCTGGGGTTTAGGGTTTAGGGTTTGGGGCCCTACACCCTAAACCCTGGGCCTTAAACCCTAAACCCTGAACCCTATTTGGTCGGGGTTCTGGGTAAGCGAAATCTTCCCTGAATAGATAAGATCCAGGGAAATATAGAAAGGTGATGAAAAGTAGGACTTGGGGCATGTGAATATAGCATTCCTGTAAAACCTCAAAACCTCCGATGGCCACACATCTGAATCGCCTCGCCAGTACAAAACTCTACAGGAAAGGATAATTTCCCTCAAGAAGGGGAACCCAATATAGACCCCAAACTACCAGAACCCTTCAACCAAACCCTAAGCACTAAACCCCTCTTATGGGGACCCCCGATAACGAACCCCTACTTTTAGGAAACGCTCAAATCTTGTCAACCGAATCTACAACGTATCTTCAAAAGGGTTTAAGCTTTAAGGTTTAGAGTTCACAACAGTTGAATCCTCAGCCGCTACCACTGCAATGTTGCTAGTTATCCAGGATACATTACACAAGCTACCGTCAGCATTTCCTTCTGTAGTTCATGGACATGGGTCCTTACCAGGGAATATACCAAGGACTGTACTCAACTACCAGAGTGACCCCTATGTCCACGCTGAATGGTCTTTCTGTCAGCCTGATATTGACAGTAGCTCATATGGCTCTTTCCAACAATGAGCGGCACTTGTTTGGGAGCACTTATAGGCAAGATCAAACTATACTGGGCTCTGTAGTGGAGTTCGCCATCTACGGAAACCCCAAACCCCTAAATCCTGTTGATAAGGGCTTGGGTCTGAGCCTTACAAGACGCTAAGTCCGTGGCAAGAACGTGCTGCAACTTCATCTTGCCAGCGAAACGTTGGAAGCCTATCTCGGTTACAGCAAGGCGTTAAGGCTTAGGTGTACTTGACGGGTCATGGGGACTTAGTGAGTACATTAATTGCCCCTATAACCCTATATACTAACCCTAATTATCCCCATTATTAACCTAGTTACCAAGTCCCAAAGACCCTCCAAGTAAAGCTTATAATCCCCCTCAAGTAGATAGAATATGGCTTTGGGTATACTATAAGAAGATCCCCATATACCCCATATTCTATCTACTTAAGGGGGACTATAGGATTACAGATTGTTGGTGTAGGAAGCCAGGGTTCTGCAGAAGGTGTGCGGAGAGATCACGGAGACAAGAACAACACAGAACAATTCCTTCCATGCTAGAATTATCACGATTAAGGATTCAGGGTCTAGAGTCCGTTTCTGTTTATGTAGGGCGGGTTATAGAGGAACATAAAAGAGAATCAAACGGAAAGACCATGGGGGTCGAAATTGAAACTGCGCAACCAGGCCAAATGTGCGCGTGGAGGGGGAATGTTTGCTTGTTACACACACTTCTAGGTTGGCGGCCTACATAAATAAACAACAGTTTCATCCTCTACTTGCTGAACACTCTCTTCGGATATTCATTCCTACGTGTCAAGCTTTGAGATGGACCCTGGTTGTAGGGAATTGCTCAACCTGCAACCATACATAGCCTTCTAACTTACATAAATTTCAATTCAACAGCAGGTAAACTTCAAACAACCTCAATATGATGACCGTTTACCGAGCGCAGCAACCACCGCCATGATCGTTTCCCCCAGGACAACCAGAAAGACAACGACGGCAAGCAAAAGGGACGAGGAGAGGGCCCAAGATGGAACGAGAACGATGAGAACGGACATGACCCTTAGGAGGACAAGAATGTCAACCTGAAAACTAACTGAAAGTTCGATGTTGCTTTCAATGTCTTTCGTTCAATTTCAGGATGCAATTCACCGACTGCATCTGCTCCCTGCTTGTTCTCTTGCTCATGCTGCTCCTGCCCCTACTAATAGCTTTAATAGCACCACCGCATCCAGCAACACCACCACCAACAACAACACCATCACCATCACCAACACCATCACCATCACCATCACCATCACCATCACCATCAACAACAACAACAGCACCAACACCAACACCAACAACAACAGCAACAGCAACAGCAACAGCAACAGCAACAACAACAACAACACCAACACCAACAGCAACAGCAACAGCAGCAGCAGCAGCAGCAGCAGCAGCAACAACAACAACAACAACAACAGAAGCAACAGAAGCAACAGAAGCAGCAGCAACAACAACAACAACAACAGCACCAGCAACAGCAGCAGCAGCAGCAGCAGCAGCAGCAGCAGCAGTAGCAGCAACAACAACAACAACAGCAACAGCAACAGCAACAGAAACAACAGAAACAAAAAAAGAGCAGAAACAGCAGAAGAAGCAGCAGCAGCAGCAGCAAGAACAACAAGAACAAACACAACATTCATTCACATGCATCGGAAAGAATGCGATCCGAATCGGATGAAAACACTCGCTTTGTGAGCCACACGTCTACTGCTGTTGATACAGGGGAGTACCTATGCCTACTGTGGCTGGACGCTAGACCACGTTGGTTGCGGTGATGTGACACTGGGGCAAAGCATATTGCCATTTCGAGCAGCAATCCGAGCCCATCTGCAGCTTATGATGCCTTGCGCACGTATCATGCAACTTTTCATGCAGAATCACGGCAGCTGTGGGCCATGGGTGGTGAGGTTGGCGGCTCGGTCTTGACATATACGTAATATATATATATATGTATATACATGTATATATGTATGTCTGTCTGTCTGT